CCAAGTGTACTATTACACATTATCCAAGCAACAATTTTAATATAAAATATTTAAATTTCAATAAATCATACTCCTATAATTATTTCAGCAATATACTGTCCTCCTCGACCAAATATATCTTAGCTCCACTTAGAGCAGATTATTTCTTCATTAGGACGTAAGTTCATCGCTGGTGGTGATATTATTGCCAAGCATCCTTTATGGGGTGGTCGCGTTGAAAACCCTAGAGGAAGGCTATTTTACAATTCTATTCTATCTTACGGTTTTTCAACTATTTCACCTCCTGGCCCTACTTACTGACCAACTCGCAGGAATAGACTACCTGACTTACTTGATTTTTTTATATCATCAATGCCGGATCATATAAATCACTCTATTCATAATATATGTGACCTATCATCTAATCATTCGCCCGTTTTGTTAAAGGATTGAATAGGATTGAGGATGTGATAACTGCTATTCTAGTCATTATTTTTATTCATAATTAAGTTACCGTTGTTACCTGTTTCACACACCCTCTTGTTTCCTGTAGACAACCTTTCCGGCTTCAAGTAAGGTCATGTGTGAGCAGACAATCATATTCAAATATACAGTCCACTTATTCCCTATAAAGAGTTTACAAGTGCCGGAGTAAGCGGCATAATATTTGCAGCCCCCGCCATAACATTAAGATAAAATTAATTTTTAGTTAAGACTGTGCAATTTATTATTATATAAAATAAAACAAGTATATATACATAAATAATGATTTTGCCATAAAAATGATTATTTTACGAAAAAATGGGAGGTAATATACTTAATAAATCCCACAATATATATTTTATAGAAAATTGCTATAACAATTCGTTTGATTTTTATAGCAAGAAAAATCAAATTCAATAAACAAGTGCGCTGTAATAATCTATTTTAGTCTCGGACAAATACCGTGTCATTAAATATATGAAAAATTCTGTATATTTATTTTTTAATTGTCATTTGAAATTAAAACAACGTTATTTAAAGTTTAAATTCAACATACTTTCCTGAATATAATGGAAATAATTATATAAAACCTAAAAAAAATGAATTTACATCATGCTATTTGTATATTTTTCTGTACTCAATTTTGATGAATTTTAAATTTAGAATAAATACATTAAAATTAATTTTTACCATAATAAATAATCGATGTTTTTGTAATCAATAACATAACAATTATATTAGAAATTATTTCTAATTATTAGGAATGTTTAGCAAAAAAAAGAATTTTACATTACAAAATATGAGTATTTAAAATTGTTTGATATCAACTTTGATTAATTGTGTCTGAGTTATATATTTTATTTAATAAATAAAATGTAAAATAATTTTTAGATTTGATATAATTCAAAAGAATATTCCTAAAGGTATTTGAAATAATATTCTACCTAAGTATAAAATTCAAAATACCTGCGTGACTCAGTTGAAGTTAATTTATGCCCACTTACAGTTTTGCATGTTTGCAAAGCTGTGAAAATTTCAATAAGATATTTTCAAATTCATAACATACACCTTAAAACTAATTTATTATAATAATTGTCATAATATCTATGAAAAAAATAATATTTTATGATTTTATGACGAAAATAATTTTATATTTGATTATATTGTATTAAAAAGTCCGATTATGTGACTGAGTCGGTCACGTAGAAGTGCCTGATTTGCACTGTCCCGAAAAAGAATATTGTAGTAAAATCAGCAAAATAACAAGAAAAATACTTATTTTTTAATTGTTTTCGTGAATATTTATCCTAATAATCAATAAATATAAACATAAAATAGATTGCTGTGAAAATCCATTTTTAACTTTCCTAAGTAAGGCAAGCTTGAGCTATGTGTAACACTTTTTGCTCTCATATCAATAATATTTCAGTTAATGTTATGAAACTTCCCAGATAACTTAAAAAACACACAGGTTTTAAAATAAAAAATATATTTTCCTAACTAATTTACTTTATTTAGTGTACGGATGATAATGTTAAAGTGAATTAAAATATTAAATTTTTATAAAAAATATTATTTGATTATAAATAGTTGTACTAGTTCAATTACTAAAAAATAAACCTTATAATTAACTAGGAGCATAGCATATGGAGTTGTCAGGATGATTTTTTTTCTTAATTACTCAATGTAACCAATTAAAAATTTATGATGTAATCAAATTTTCTTAAGGGGACAGGAATTAACTTCTTAATTTGTCAATACATATATAATCCATATTTTATTAATTATCTAAATAATGCTAAGGTATGTCAACTGGCTCCACTAAAAAAATCGCCTTACACCACGCCTGTAGTAATATGACGAATTTGACTTTATCTTCTAAATAATTAATAAATATTAAATTAATTAATATTAGTTATCAAGCTTTATACCGATAATTGGTAAAAATTGAGATCAAATATTAGTCTCAATACAATAAGTATTACTTCTACTAACGCCTTTTGCTTGCATAACCGACTAAATTGTGTAGAACTCAAAAATAAATTACAAAAAGGTGAACATTCGGCTGACAATAGTCAGTAGAGTAATATTAACCCACATATTTGCGTGTAACACAAGTGTAAGTCGATGTGCATAAATGTTGAGGGAAACAGTTCGTTCTATAGCATCGGCCACAACGTAAAAAGAGTTATTTAGACATGAAAATACACTGTTAAAGTATGTGACTTCAAAAGGGGTGTTTACTATCACAAAAGATTACATATTTGGGTAAACTTCCATTATAAACAAATTATGGCACAGCATTTTATTAGACCTGATGACAATAACGTTGATAATTATTATATAGAAATGTTATTTGATAATTTATTTTCGTTAAATGAATAATATGAATATTTATTATTTTTATTTTTAAAATCATTACAATAATAAATTTTTGTGCATAATAATAATTATGGTATACGTACTCTAATTTATAATGACCGTAAGTATAGATAGTAAAACAGTCTATTTGATGCCTTAATTGATAATGGACTTTTAATTTTCTTACTATAGCATTGTTAATAGTACATTCCAATTCATGTAGTTTTTTTTTTAACATTTTCTATATTTAATAAAACTGTGCACTCATCCACCGTTCTGGATTCCAACACTAAATGGTTATTATTGCGAAACAGCGCTTCAGATATTTTGAAGTCAGCATCTTTGGTATAATATACTATTGGTTTGATTTTGATTCGTTAAATCGCATATCACAAATCCCTGTATACTAACCCTTTTATTCTTTCTTAAGCATTTACACTTTATTATAATAATAATTAATATTAAACTCATGATTTTCAAATATATGTATGCGTATACTTTATACATTAACGTTTCGCATTAATGTCAAATAATAAATACAGTAGTGTAACTGAATAATAGTCAAAAGAATTTGATTAAATATTATGGTTAATTCTGATGTATAAATATTTTCACTTTAATATCTTAATAACTGAATTCATACGAAATAGCAAACTATTGTGTATATGCCTATAATCGAGAATTATTAGGATTATGAAAATTGGTTTACATAGCTTTCTGTTCTAGCCGTCGCTCAATAGCATAATATATCTAGTTGTATTCTATTTAAACACGGGTGTATATTATAGATGTATACTAGAACAGTTATTAAATATTATCAGTAAATAATGTTTTTTAACACACGTCATAAGGTATATACTGTTCATACTCAATAATGTATATAGGTATACATATAGTAAGACAATTACTAATAAGTCTACTCTAATCACTTCATATAACTAGGATACGTTATCGTAGATACTTATGGTACACCATAAGTATAATATACTTAAATGATTCATGTGTAATACATATACTATACATGAAAATAGATACTTTATTATATTGATCTTTGTTGATCGATTTGATATAACCCGATCATGATCGATAGAGATAGACAGATAAATATATATGGATTACGTACTACGTTAGATATAAGAACTAAATAAATTATCACAGGACATATATTTCCAAATAATAGACACTTTCTATGCCACTTGATTATTTTCACATTAATATGTCTATAATCATCTGTTTATACGTATAATTATTCACTTATAGAAGTTGAGATCTCTAGTTTTTTTTTCTGTTGGTACTATTGCATATGCCTTGTAATATAAGAAAAAGTATTTTCATACATGAAAATCATATATGGGTATTTACATTTTTATTAAGTGTTTATGTTAAGAAAATTGGTATATTAATAATTCTTAAATAATGTGACTATTAAGAAAATATTGTTATACTACCTGTTACTATTAATAATGTAATCAAGTTTTTAAAAAATGTTTAACTTTGACGGGACTCATAGAAAAGTATTAATTTTACTATGATGTGATTGTTGCTTATTTGCCTAAAAATTCATATATAATTACTGAATAATGAATGTGACATAGATCATTGTATATAACGTTATACATGTGAGAGGGTGAAATATTAGCTAAGAACAGGTATAGATCATTAAATATAGTTTTTAATATAAATACCCTATCTCAGCACCTCGAAATGTATGATTTTTTTTACTTGTAACGCTCTATGCTGAACAAGTACGCATACAAACTATCATTTATTCAACTAACCAGCGTATTCAATCATAAACAAAAAATAAAATGAATACGATCGAATATTTTACAAGAAATGTATTATGGATTTCAATGCCAAAAGTGAGTACAATAAATTGATAATAGTATTCTTCATTTATCGTTAACATATATTTTATATGTAAAAATAGAAGATTACAATTTTAAATATTGTGATTGTGTAATCAATAAATGTTATCAACATAGGTCATTATTAAGAGATGTAGTGGTCGAATATTTCGTTAATAATGCAGAGTATGAAAAATATGAGGCAATTACTAACGATTTAATTGAACACTCATCGGTCGATCTGGAGTTTTATTTACAAGAATTGTATGATAAGCTATTCACCGTAAAGTCTGATTATGGGCATAAACGTTGGCTTGAAGGTAAAAAAATTATTAGTAATATTTTTGATAATAAAATTATAACTAATAGTTAATAGACGAAACTAATTTACTTTATAAAGGTTGAAAATTATGTTTATATATATTATTTTTATTGTACAGAAAGACTTAGCTTATTTACAGGTAGCAGTCAAAAGTTGAGGAGTGGATTTAAAAATCATCGTATGATTGATCTTATTTGCATGTACAACTTAATTGTATCACGTAAACAAGATGAATGTTAGCATTATCATTGAAACTGGTTTTCATTTGACGATTCATATTAGCCAATATAGATTCTAAGTAAGATTATGATTATGAATATTAAACATAGGTTTAACTGAGCTTAACTCGACTCAGCATATGGCAAATTTGGTACCGACATACTATCGTACCCCAATTACCTATCTTAATTTTAATTTGGATGGCGAGACTGTAGATGAATATTCAGAGTGGTATTTATAATTTGTAAATAATAAGTTTGTTTTGTTGTAAGTTAATTATCTTTTTTCTTTCATATTTTTATATAATATTAATAATAATAATATACATTAAAGGTAACATAATTAGCAATTGCTTCTAGTGTTATGCATGTGACATGATGAAGTACAGGAACAGGTATAGATCTTTAAACATAGTTTTTTCATACACATATTCTATTTTACATCATGAAATTTAACATTTTTTACATGTGATAATGAATACTGTACAAATATGTGCGGTACAAATCCACCATACAAATACCTTGTTATTTAACCGACAAATGTATAGATGTTTTTATTTTAACCATATTTAATATTATTTTTTAATATCATTATAATAATTCTATTGCAGTGATTGATATGTCAAAGCAGACCGACACAATTACAGTCCCGTCTTTTGACCTACGTATTGAAATTGAAGCATCATCCGCGTTCCCTGCTAATACAACTGCATATGCTATAGTAATTTCAGGCAATGTATTTACATATACACCTTTTGACGGTACCATCCGTATATTTTATCATTTTTTACATGTTTATGTAAACATTTATTATTAACCTTGTAATTATTATTATTATTATAAAATAAATATATTATATACAAATAACAACACTGTTTTTATTTTTAGATTATAAGTTTATTATAAGAAACTAGTACAATATATAAAGTTATTGTTTATAAATTATTAATATAAGTTAATTTTCTGACGTGATTGGAATTCGGTCATTGTGAAGCCCATGGACTATAACTATTTTCTTGGGTATACACTGTTGTATTGAAAAATGTTGGTCCATCATTTTCATCGCACATTTCTTCTTCTTTTTCCTAAAACATAATTATATATTTAATAACAATAAAGGTTATTACAATCTATGTTTATTAAACTCACATTAATTTGAAGCGTGCCCTCGGACCATGACTTGACCCATCGATCAACTATTACATTGTATACTAAATTTTTCAGCTCGCTTATGTAATTACTGTCACCTATTTCTATGACCGACACAATTACAGTCCCGTCTTTTGACCTACGTATTGAAATTTAAGCATCAACCACGTTCGCCGCTAATACAACTATACATTGATTGCTAAATTCTTTAGCTCGCTTATGTAATTACTGTCACCTTTAGGAATAGTATCGCATATTTCTATGTCGTTCAAACTTCTTATAAAATTAACCATTTCATCATTGTTTGATTGTTGAATTTTAGGGCCCCACCATTTACCGTCGGCGTATTGTATAATGCAGTCTATTTGATGGCTTAATAGTAAACGTGTTTTTATTTTTCTTGATATTGTACTGTTAATAGTACACTGTAAGTCCATAAGTCTATTAATGTTTTCGTTATTTAATAACACTCGACACCCATCCACTATTCTGGATTCTAATACTAAATGCATGGTATCATGGTACAATACTATGGTTATATTAAAATCGACATTTTGGTATAACATAATGTTCTCTCCTTTTACCGGAGGTGATTGTAGAAATAATGTTATTTCATCCCTCATGCCGTAAATAATATTTAAATAATCTGCTGACATACTAATACATCGTGAAAGAGTAATAATGCATACCGTAACATTGAAGTCATCCTTTGGATTCAGGCCCACTTGTAAAAATTTTCTGTCGCTGAACGCAATAGTGTAACTGTTAGAGTCAATCATCTCGGCTGGCGGTGTTGGTGCGATATAAATGTAGTGCTGTTTTCTTACAGGTTCGGCAGCCATATTATTCATAGAGTAGAGTCTTCTTTTTAGAGCTGATGGTTCTTGATGACAATGTGACTTTATCAACGATTTTATCCTCATTTATGCGGAAAAATCACATATTTTCATAGGGAGGTCAGCAAATCATAGGACACATAACCCCGTATACTACCTCTTTTCTTCATCACTTAAGTAATTTCACTTTAATATCATAATAATTAATTTTAAACTCTCGACTTCTAAATATTTGTATACAAATATATGTAATAGAATATGTGTATACATGTTTTATACAATAACGATTACACATTAACAAAAAATGTCTATTAACAAACGTGGTAGTGTGACTGAATAATCAAAAAAAGAATTTGATAAAATATTATTTCAAACGTATAAATATTTTCTCTATAATTAAAAAATAACTGAATTCTTATGAAATAGTATAATATTGTACATATTTATTTATTTACTTTAATATCATAATAATTATCACCTTATGATGATTTTCATCATCACCTCCCCTTCTATGTAGAGGTAAACCGCTGATTTACTGTTTTAATACATACGTTAGTCAAGTAGGGGGCACTCTATGACCAAAGGTCTACACCTCGCATAGCTATAGTTGGGTTTCGTTGGATTAATAGCCGCCGTCGCCGCTTGATTACACCTTTCACTTTTCTGCATTCAAATATTTTCACATATTTCTAAAATTATGCAATTTTCAAAATCCCTCAAATTTTTATATAATATATCAAAGTATACTGTATGATGTTCCATTTACCTAGGTATACTATGCATATACCAAGGTAACATGTACCATGGTATAACGAAATGCTATCTAGGAACGAGAAACATCGACTTTTCACCATATTCCCCCGGCCGTTTACACCACCCGTCCACCTAGGACAGGGTAAACCTACATCATGTGGGTGGGTGAAGGGACTATGTCTTTCACCATATCTCCCCGGCCGTTTACACCGCCCGTCCACCTATGGAGAAGAAACGACCAGGGCCGTTTTGGGGGGTCCCAGCTCATACTTTATACTACTACTATTATTTGTTTAATTTAAAATTTTTTTTTTTTTTTATTATTAACTATGTAATACTTTTTAAATTCATCCCTTATGCCTTGTAAGAGGGTCAAAATTTTTTTTAAAATGAGGCACATATTTTTAATTTAATAAAATGTTTAAGTTTTTAATTTAATAGTAAATGGCATTTGAATTTTTTATATAATTTTTTATTTTTATGTAACTTTATTCGTTTATTAGATATAAACATTTAAAGTTTCAAATTTTTGAGTTATTATACATGTATAATACACAAGGTTTTCATATACATGTAGCTAAATGGTTTTTATGACATCTCTGTCACAGTCATGGATTTTTATTATTAATTATAACTATCAATAGATATACTTTTTATATAGTCAGTTAGTGTATTTAGGAACTCACAACAATGTGCCTTACTATCATTGATAATAACAATGATGTGTACCTGAGAATATTGATGTCATAAAAAACCAATTAGCTACTTGTATTTGTAATACCTTGTGTATTATATATGTATAATAACTCAAGAATTTGAAACTTTAAATGTTTATATCTAATATACGAATAAAGTTATATTGAAAATTAATATGCCATTTACTATTAAATTAAAAACTCAAACATTTTATTAAATTAATAATATGTGATCCCATTTAAAAAAACAAAGTTGACCTCCTTATAAGGAATAAGGGATGAACTTAAAAATTATTACATTGTTAATAATTCAAGAAGAATGTGTAACTAAAGATAACCAAAAAATAAAAAAATGTTTAATTATATTTATTCTGTAAGTAATTGAGTCGGTTATGATAAAAAAATCATTTTGTATACACAAATTTTTATTGAGACACGGCCCCATCACTCATGCCACCTTTATCAGCCGTCGCCCTACTATAAGTATTTTTGTTTGACTGACCAATACCGCGTGCCATACGCCACGGTGCAAAGTCCAGCAAGTGTCGCACGGCCGACGATGACCCGCCGCTAATGATACCGTAGTCCTCTTTCCGTTGTTAAAGTGACAACGTCGATGATGAACGCCATCGGCTCTGGGGGTCTATTTTTAAATCGTCCGTTCGTCGAACGTATACGTTCGTTGAACGGTCACGTTACTCGAAATACGTCCAACGAACGGACAAGTTCCTCGAAATACGTTCAACGAACGGTCACTTTCGTCAAACGGATTCTATTGTTCCATTAGGTATACGGCCTTTTAGGTATTGTTCGATGAACATATATGTTTTACGATTGTTTGTAATTTATTATAATAACTTTTTAATAACAATAATTTATTACTAACACATACATTTATAATTTGCTAATTTAATTTATTTGATGTGAATTTATTTTAAGTAATTCGCTAAAACTATACAAATAATTTAATTACACAAATTCTAACAAAAATGTATTTACAATTGCATACATGTTAAAATAAAAATTATTAATACACTTTAAAACAACAATACTTAAATTTTCGAAAATAAAAAATTACATATATTTTATATAATTTTATTTTATTTATTCATTTTAAGATAATTTGATATAATTTATAAATTATGTTACATATAAATAAATAATAAATTTAATAAGATTTTAGTTCTTAATTGGAAAAAATGACACCCTAGGTCACGGTCTACTCCTAAATATGCCACTGTTTTGAAAAGTTGTTAACATAACAAACATATAATTTCATGAATAATTTTCACAAAAAACTTAAGGTAAATTTTCAAAAGATGGTTATTACGAGGTGCAAGGGTGCAACCAATAAAATAGTTGTTACACGTATTACGAGTTTTAATTAATATTACTGAGTAATCATAATATAATATTATGTTTCAATTTATTTAACATATTAACTGAAAAATGGAAATTAATTTATAATACTGAATATAATATTTTAATATTTTATACATTTTTTTTAGACAACGTAATATTTAAAACATAAATATTACTTTTTTCTGCACGTGTTCAAGCAATAGGGGTAAAAAATTTTGAGATAATATACATGTATAATACACAAGGGTTTACAAATACAGGTAGCTAATTGGTTTTTTATGACATCGATATTAGCAGGTACACAGCATTGTTATTATTAATAGTAGTAAGGCACATTGTTGTGAGTTTATAAATACACTAACTGACAATACAGAAGGTATATCTAATGATAGTCATAATTGATAATAAAGAATCCGTGACTATGACAGCAATGTCATAAAAATCCAATTAGCTACCTGTATTTATAATCCCTTATATATTATACATAAATAGTATAAGGGATGAACTTAAAGTGTTACATAATTAATAATTCAACAATAATGTGTAACTAAAGATAATCGGAAATAAAAATGTTTAGTTTATTATTATTCTGTAAGTAATTGAGTGGGTAATGATAAAAAAATCACTCTGTATACAATGTATTTTATGGTTGCATTTTTCAAGTGAATTTTATTAAATAATGTGATTTTTGTTTATATTACTCAATTATCTCAAAAAAGGTCTCGCTGCATTTAATGAGATCGTAAACAAATATTATGTATCATTGATGCGCTGTAAGTTGCATTGAAATAATTTGGAAACTATTAGATAATAGTTCTATTTAAAACAATTTTTAATATTTAACTAAAAATTTTTGTTTGTAAATTTCAATCATTTTTTTCAACTAATTTATGTTTTGTATAACAACATAATTAATTGAAATAATATTTATTATAATAAATATATTTTTATTAATAAAAATATATATTAAATATTTTTTTTATGTTCATAAGTTAATAAGGAAATCTCACTCAAACATGAAGGAGCCTTAGCTCCCTATTTCCGATTATAGCTACTTCTACGAATAATTGAT